TAAACCCGGACGTGATCATACTGATCCGTCCAATTATCGACCTATTTCACTAACTAGCTGTGTTTGCAAAACCATGGAACGAATGATCAATAATCGACTTGTTTGGTACTTGGAAACAAATAACCTCATAACAGATATACAATGTGGTTTCCGTAAAACAGAAGTACTGTCGATCACTTAGTGCGTTTGGAATCGTTTGTTAAAAACGCTCTAATTAATAAACAACACGCTGTGTCTATCTTTTTTGATCTTGAGAAGGCATATGACACAACGTGGAAATATGGCATTTTAAGAGATTTACATGATTTGGGATTACGAGGCCGTTTGCCTCTATTTATATCCAACTTTTTAAATGATAGACAATTTCAAGTCCGAGTGGGTTCAACCCTGTCTGATCATTATAATCAGGATCAGGGTGTCCCACAAGGCAGTATTTTGTCTGTCACCCTGTTTAGTATTAAAATCAACAGTTTATCCAAGGTTTTAACTGATTCAATCGATGGATCATTATTTGTGGATGATTTTAATATTTCTTGTCGTGGGAAAAATATGCATACTATTGAACGGCAACTGCAGTTGTGTTTAAACAAAATACATAAATGGTGTCTGGAAAACGGATTTAAATTCTCTAAATCCAAAACTAATTGTATTCATTTCTGCCGTAAATACAAACCCCATAACGACCCAGAACTATCTTTAAATGGCACTCCCATCAAAGTTGTTAAGGAGGCCAAGTTCTTGGGTCTAATTTTTGACTCTCATTTAACATTTCTGCCGCATATTAAATCCCTAAAAACTAAATGCCTGAAGGCACTTGACTTGATGAAAGTCGTTTCAAATTCTAAGTGGGGAGGGGATCAAGCTACCCTCTTACATCTGTATCGATCATTGGTACGTTCCAAACTTGATTATGGCTCCATCATATATGGTGGAGCCTGCAAAAGCAACCTACAACTTTTAGATTCTGTCCACCACCAAGGTCTGAGACTTTGTCTTGGGTCCTTTCGAACTTCTCCTGTTGACAGTCTCTACGTCGAGGCAGATGAGCCATCTCTTGCACAACGCCGTATCAAATTATCTTTACAATATATTACTAAACTATTTTCTAATGAGTCTAACCCTGCATATAACTGTGTCTTTCATCCCCTCTATGAGGATTTCTACAACAAAAAACCTTCTCTTGTTCCGCCTCTTGGGCACAGAATTAAGCCCTTCCTGTCTGCTGCCGGCATTGAGCTTGAAAAGATAGCTCCTTCCCGTCTTCTTTCTTCTCCTCCTTGGCAACTGGTTAGGCCCCAAGTTGACCTAACTTTGACCACATTTAAAAAAAATCAGAAACTAATGAGTTACAGTATAAACAAGAATTTAGTCAGTTAAGAAATAAATATACTACATATAAATCCTTATATACAGATGGATCCAAGGATGGTGGCGCTGTAGCTTGTGCCACTGTCATTGGGTCCAAAACAATATCATCTCGATTGCCTGATAACAGCTCTATTTTCACGGCGGAAGCTAACGCCATATTAACAGCTTTAAAATATATTAACTCACACCGTAAATATCAACAATATATCATCTTTTCTGACTCTCTTTCTTGCCTTCAGGCGATTAGAAATCTTTCTTGCAAACATCCACTTTTATTAGAAATTCTTGAATTGTACAATGAACTTGCTACTGGCCAATGCGACATCGTCTTTTTTTGGTTACCCAGCCACGTTGGCATTTCTGGGAACACAATGGCTGATATTGCTGCTAAGGCTGCCCTCAACAAATCTGTGACACCACTTCTTATCCCATACTCTGATTATAAAGCCAGCATTAGAAGATACATCCGCGATCTAATGCAAAAGAAGTGGGACACCCAAATAGGTATTAATAAATTACATGCAATAAAACCCTACATTGGTTACACCTACTTGGGTTGTCAGTCCAGATTTGAAGAGGTCATTATGCGACGATGTCGCATTGGCCATACCAGATATACTCACGAATATTTATTGAAAGGCGAAGATCCTCCGTTTTGTATCCCTTTGTGATGAAAGGATCACAGTCAAGCATGTCTTGCTTGACTGCATTGAATATTCCATCACAAAGGGATATCTATTTCAAATCCAAAACTCTGAAGGATCTTTTTAATAATATCAGTTCTCATTTAGTTATTGCATTTTAAAAAATTAGATTTGTTGAATGAATTGTAAATAGCTAAATATTTTATGATTGGTAGTTTAATTGAGCAGCTGGGATTGTTAGTGGCTGTATCCTCACAGGGGTTGAAGCACTGTAAAAGTATTGTCCTCCTGAGGGGTACGTAAGTCCCAAAACATTCAAACTAAATTTAAACATACCATTAGTTTTAATCGTAGAATATGTGTTATTTTAACTTATGGCTAATTTGTCTAAACTTGCTGACGGCTGAAGGGATGGTGTAAATCCAGCTAGGGTCCATGCAGGAAGCAAATGTACTGTAAGTCCCCATGGTCCCTAGTATGGTGATCTACCTTCAGTCGTTAGCAATCTACAGCCTGTTTTTATATTGTATTGTCATTTCTAGTTCCAATATTTTATATTTCATTGCTAGTTTTAGATGGATATCTGTGATACACTAGTAGTTTTACTGTTCTTCGTCGGCAGGTTTTTCTAATATCTGTATATATACTCTATTTAAAGGTCAAATGTTCTCGTCACGATATGGCTGAAATATTGCCGATGTGACGTTAAATATTAACTCACTCACTCAGGCTATTAAAAATATTTCTTGTAAACATCCACTTTTATTAGAAATTATTGAATTGCATAATGGGCTTGCTACTGGCCAATGCGACATCGTCTTTTGTTGGTTACCAAGCCACGTTGGCATTTCTGGGAACACAATGGCTGATATTGCTGCTAAGGCAGCACTCAACAAATCTGTGACACCACTTCTGATCCCATACTCTGATTACAAAGCTTGCATTAGAACTTACATCCGTGATCTGATGCAGAAGAAGTGGGACACCCAAGTAGGTATCAATAAATAACATGAAATAAAACCCTAAATCGGTTACACTTACTTGGGTTGTCAGTCCAGATTTGAGGAGGTCATCATGCGACGATGTCGCATTGGCCACACTAGATACACTCATGCGTACCTATTGAAAGGTGAGGATCCTCCGTTTTGTATCCCCTGTGATGAGAGAACCACGGTCAGGCATGTCCTGCTTGACTGTGTTGAATTCTCCATCATAAGGGATAAATATTTTAATGTTAAAACTGTTAAGAATCTTTTTAGTACTGTTCATCTTCATTTAATTCTTGCCTTTTTAAAAGAAATTGATTTAATTAATGAATTTTGATAAATATGTTCTATATATGTATTTTGATTATTGGTAGATTTGATTAGTAACTTAGATTGTTAGTGGCTGTACCCTCAAATGGGGTTGAAGTATTGTAAGATTATTGTCCTCCTGAGAGGGTACGTAAGTCCCAAAACATTTCAAGTACATTTAGGTATACCAGGTGTTTTAATCGTAGTATTTTTGTCATTTTAATGTATGGCTAATTATTGGTATAAACGCCAATGGCTGAAGGGATGGTGTAAATCCAGCTAGGGTCTATGCAGGTAGCAAAGGTAATGTAAGTCCCCATGGGCCTTAGTATGGTGATCTACCTTCAGTTGTTGGCGATCTATAGCCCATTTTTACATTGTATTGTCTTCTTTAATTCGAATATTTTAGCTTTGTTCGCTAGTTTTATATTCATATCTGTGATTATCTAGCATTTTTACTGTCCTTCGTCGGCAGGTTTTTATAATATCTATATATATTCTATTTCAATGTCAAATGTTCTCGTCACGATATGGCTGAAATATTGCCGATGTGACGTTAAATTTTAACTCACTCACTCACTCACTCCCTCATAACACCTCCCTCACTCTCATCTGTCCACCTGGGGAACGCAAGCGTCGGCGAAATGTTCACGTCGACGTCTGTACACCCGCATTCTTCCATCGCGTCGTTCCAATAGAAATCGTGATTCATCACTGAACCAGATTCTACGCCAATTCGGTAGGTTCCAGTCCTGAACGTTGGTGCACCATTGAACTCGATGTCGACGATGTTTTCGAAGCCCAGGGCCAAAATAAGGTCTTCTCGCACGTAAACCAGCCTCTCTCAACCTGTTCCTGACGGTCTGTGCAGAAAGCCTCCTCAATCCGGGTATTTGTCGAGCGGTACTGGTCGCCGTAGCTGTTTGATGACGCAAGTGATGTACCCGGATGTAGCGATCCTGCGCCCCACTACGAGGGGCATCTGCTACCGCATTCTGACGGCGATATCTCTCCCAGATCCGTGAAATGGTGCTTTGGTGAACATTCATGCGTCGAGCAACTGCAAGTTGAGACTGGCCAGCTTCAAGCAAACCAATGGCGATATGACGGTTGGCTTCACTTAGACGTGGCATTTTGCGTTCGTCAACAATATTCCAAATACAGTGAATAATCGACGGACAGCGATCAACCTTTTATACCCATCATTGAGACTATCTGACCCCCAACTTTCACGTGCATTGCATGTGAATTGTGTATTCTGTGACACTACACGCCGAAATTGAAAATCATGCTGTTAAATACTGTTTTTTTACGGATGGTGCGTTTTGTTGTGATGCTTCAAAACATAAACACCATAGGACTCATAAACAGAGCAAAACCTTTTGTAAAACGAATCACGTTTTAATTCAATGCTACATGAAATTGCAATTTTCATGATGCGTTTTTTGGGGGGAGAGTATATAATAAAATGAAATAAAATTATACACAGTTGATGTCCTTGTATTGCTATATCTCTGAGTATGCGTTGGAATTATTCTTTCCGAGTATTTTAAGACACATCAATGCAAATACAATGCAGACATTGATATTAACGGCACTGAGAGAATCATGGCGCAATGGGAGTAAATGTTATGGAGCTGTTCAATACCTGGATATAACATTATTAATGTATTAGGCTTGGATGTACTATTACCTGCTTGTGATTTTGCTCTCGTCTCAGACATAGGAACTGCATCATCTTCCCTCTTGTCGGAAATATTATCCTCAGAGCTTCGATTTCGTTTTCTGTTAACGAAAAAAACCGAGAGGTATAATGAGGTTTACCTACGCCAAGGTCTATTATATACTCAGCAGCAAAAAAAAACGTCAGTGCGAATTCAAAATTAGATAGGCATTGTAATAAAATCATTACAGAAATGGACATAATAAGCGGATCAAAACCATTTTTTGTGTACAATATCTTGACACATGCCTGAATAACTCAAGACATACGAGAACCAAGTTGCCAGTGCTACAGGCATTGGATCTAAGACTGTCTCCTCTAGGATTCCCGACAACAGTTCCATTTTCACTGCCGAGGCCAAAGCTATCTGTTCAGCTTTGACCTATATTAAACAGCAGAACCATTCCCAAAACTTCATCGTTTTCACAGATTCATTATCTTGCCTTCAAGCACTTCAAAATGTTACTTCAAGTCACCCAATCATTCTGGACATTTTAGAACTTTACAACGACCTCTCTACTGGCCAATGTGACATCGTCCTCTGCTGGTTGCCGGGTCACGTCGGCAGAGCAGGTAACACAAAAGCCGATGCTGCAGCAAAAGCAGCTCTTGACAAGCCCTTATCTCCACTGCTGATCCGGTACAGTGATTTCAAACCCACTATCAAAAGCTATACTCGGGACCTCATGCAAAAAAGGTGGGACACTCAAGTAGGAAGAAAAAAACTGTATGAATTGAAGCCAACAATTGGTTATACCTACTTGGGTTGTCAGTCAAGACGTGATGAGGTAATTTTACGACGATGTCGTATTGGCCACAGTCGGTTTACTCATAACTATCTGCTGAAAACGGATGGGGATGGACCCCCCATGTGTGTCTCTTGCGATGAGGTTTTCACAATCAAGCATATTCTGCTTGACTGCGTGGACTTATCGTCTGCAAGGGACTCAAATTATGATGCAACAAATCTGAAAGATCTGTTCTCCCGCGTGAGCGCTCATCTGATAGTGAACTACCTGAGGGAAGTTGATCTCTATCATAAATTGTAACTGAAATGTGACTAACAAATTGCCTGCCTTTACATTTAGTGCTATGACTTTTTTTGCTTTTAAATGACAATGTAATGAATATATGTTTTTGAAATAAAACTAATTCCGAGTATGTACTTACAATGTTTATTAATGCAAACTTGTTCTCGTCACTATATGGCTGGAATAATGCCGATGTGACGTAAAACCCAACTCAACTCAAGACATTACGTGAACGTTTGCAGTCCATTCTTGACTTCAGTATCCAGTGTGACCACCACGAGTGGCAATAACGGCAGCACAGGTTCTATGCATGGCGTGCACCAATCGATTGATGAAGGTCATTGTGGTATGATGTGGGGTCTGAGAGCTTGGTCGATGTAGCGCACCGCTGTGATTTCACCTCCTCCCCATGGACCAAGGTTCAGGAACACCACAGGACCCACTGTCTGGTTCAGGCGTATTCCACCCCATACCATGATGCTTGCATCTCCCCATGAGTCTCTTTCCATAACACATTGGTCTGAATTACGCTGGCCACGTCGTCGCCATATTCTTGTTCTGCCATCTGCAGTTGATACGCAGTACCGACTCTCATCTGTGAACAGAACAGTTCTCCATTGCCTGTATCGCCAGTGTTGGTGTTGTAGGGCAAACTGTAGACGTTTACGCCGATGGGGTTAGGATAGGACCACGGTAAGGTCTACGGCAATGGAGGTTCGCGCTGTGAAGACGTCGGCGTACTGTATCAGTACTGATTGGTCTTCCGTGTGTTCCCACTGTCTGGCATGCTGTTTTGGATGCCTGCATGAAGGGATTGTGTACATGCTGTCGCACAACATGGCGGTCTTGTCGTCTTGTGGTCACCTTTGGTCTGCCAGTACGGGGGCGATCATTTGTGGTGTTGGTGGCCCGGAAACGTTCCTGCAGCCTGTAGATGGTCCAAACGTTGACCTGGAAACGCTTGGCAACGGCTTGTTCAGTGTGGCCAGCTTCAAGTCTTCCTAGCGCCTGGTTCCTCTGAGCTGTCGTGAGTCGCGGCATCCTGCAGAGGTTGTAATGTGAATGTTTGAACCAGGTTGGGGGTGCATTTTATAGGGCTGGTCCTTGTGAACAGCACGTGCAGCATGAGTTGCATGGAGAACACCGTACCATCTCCGACATCGGGTTGCGTTTTTGAGACCATTTCCTCGGTTCCATTCTGAGCTTGGGAAGCAATGTCCTTACTCAGGTAAAGATGGAGATGTTGTCAAAAATATACAATCAAAACATTAAATGAGTTTACAGTTATCCGTTTTTGCGAAGGAAAATTCCAAACTGACGTTTCTTTTGCTGCTTAGTATATATTATATTTTTTTATCTGATTATTTATATTGAGGTACAGGAACAGACGAAACGTTATAATTAAAACGTATATTTTAGTGCCGTGTGTGTGTTCTCAGGTATGCTCAGCAAGATGTGAAGATTATTAGCGTATACATTTCCTCACCTGTAAATAATAACTCCTGCAATCACTACCAGAATGACTATTGCTCCTCCGACACCCCCACCTATCACTGCTATGTTAAGAGCTGACTCAGCTAAAACACAAAACGGATTAGTTTATCATGACAATGTAGCTGGAAACATTTGTTGATAAAATCAAGTACATGTATCTTGGAAAACAGCGTTAGGTGCAGATGATGGACACAGAGCATTCATTCAAAAGTAACAAAAAGATAGGTCATTAGATAATATAAATTAGGAAGAGACGGGACACGTTAACAGTTAAAAGTCAGTCTTTGCCACTCCGCAAAATACATCATTTCGAGGTAAGAGTAATGACCAGATTTTGCTATCTTGAGGTAATGCTTTCGTGCAGGCTTTTGAGGTGAGGTGACATGGGGTTTAACGTCGTGCATGAGAATATTTTGCTCATATGACGACATGCATGCGTGTATATGTGTATGTGCGGCTGCTTGTACTAGCCCAGACTTAAGCTGGTTTTATAGCGCTAGCTCACTGAGATACCATGTCGCAGTTTAGGATGAATACCCCATTCAGACACAGTATACTGACTCCGAGCTGACCAGTCCTCGTTGTACCCATTAATGCCGAGTGCGAGGCAGGGACCAACAAGTACCACATTTTAACGTATTTTCGTATGACGCAGCCGGGGTTCGAACCCGCGACCTTCCGCTATCCGGGCTGACAGTCTAACCTGCAGGAGTTTGATATTTAGATACTTATTTATTTCAAAGATCATCAGAAAAGACAAAAATTGCAAATGTAATACGTGAGTGTCTGAGCGTATCTAAGTAGATCATTTCTAACATCTGGCAAAATGCAGGTTTGAAGTCATAGGAAGACGATTGAAGAGCGCGATGATAGATACATGTTAACGCTACAAGTGTGATTTACGAAATGCTACTAGAAACGTGGGAGAATGCATGGATTCATACTTACGTTCGTGACAGCTCTCTCCTGTCCACCCATCTGCACATCCGCCCTCACAATGTCCTGTCGTCTTTTCACAAACTCCACTGGTCTTACAGTGGCATGTCTTCTTACATTTGGTGCCATATGTGGAGTTACTGCACGCTGACAATCAGCAGAGAAAAAATACAGGATCAGGCCAGTGGTTTACTTTCGGGAAAAGCAAAGATCTATATGAATATGTGATCGCTTCGTTTAGAGTGAGTGAGTCAACTTTTACTCCGCTTTTAGCAATATTCAAGCAATATGACAGCGGGGGACACTAGAAATGGGCTTCAGACACTGTACCCATGTGGGATATAGAACCCGGGTCTTTGGCTTGACGAGTGAAGCCACAAATTTTAATGTGTTATTCCCTGAATAAATTGGCCGATATATCGAGTTTGCCTCATTGACAGCTAGTGGCTCAATGTATGAGTCACAGAATGAAATGTGGTCTGGAGATATATTTTCATTTGATACCTGTCTGGCAGTCATCGCCCTTCCATCCTGATGCACAATCGCCCTGGCAGAAACCTGTTGTCTTGTTACACTTGGTGTTGTCCTCACAGTGACACGTCTGTGTACAGTTGAGTCCATACGTGTTGCTACTGCATTCTGAATGTATGTATTTAGGCATTATTATATTCCTCTGTCAGCACGTAAGGACGTGTCTTTTATGTGCTCATGAATTAAAAATATGTACGTGTCTTCACGTATTCCATGCGTTTTTAATCGCATTATACATCCCATAACCTAAAACCAAGTGAATGAAATAAAATGTGATCCCGCTGAATTATTAAATGGGGCAATTTCGTCTATTCAGTGTTTCATATAAACGTGTGAGTTTCAAACAAACTACCCAGTCGTCTTAAAATCACTAACAATACATTGTAGTATTTTGATAAATGCATATATCACATTCATCTCTTTGTGCCCCTTAAATATACTTTGCACGCTTGTTCAGTGTGTACGATGTGACTTGGGTACTCGACCCGTGAAGATGCGCGTTAGAATTGGTCTTCAGTAATCCATGCTTGTCCGAAGAAGCGACTTAGAAAATCAGGTGGTCAGGCTTGGTGACTTGTTTGACACATATCATAGTATCCCAATTTTGTAGTTCGATGCTCATGCTGTTGATTTCTGCATTGCTTGGACGAGACTAGATTAATCAAAGACCGCCTCTATGTAGCTGAAATATTGCTATGCGCTGCGTTAAAAAACCAACAAACAAAAAGCACTTGGATAGTCTATATTTGAGGGTTACATTTTCGTCTATTCAGTGCTTCAAAAACATGTACATTTCAAACAAACAATTAGATGTGTTATAAACGTGTTCAGAGAGGAATGAACATAATTAATTTTATTCAAAGCGATATTTTGTTTATTGGAACTGCGATACTGTGATGTATGTTTTGTGATTGTGTAAGCACCTATATTGGAGAAACTTGTCGGCCCTTCAACATACGACTAAAAGAACATAAAACTTCAGTGGGAAAATCTGATCTCAAACCTGCCCTCTCAGAACACATCGTTAACAATCCCAAACACTCTATCAACTGGCATCACACCGAAATCCTGTCTTCGAACATCACCAACTGGCGCAAAAGAAAACTGTGTGAGTTAATCAACATAAGAAGATTAGTGCTGTTTGATCTCACTGCATAGTTTGTACATACTTGGTTATACCTCCTTTTCCCCTTATATATACTCAATTTACATACGTGGCTTCCTGTACATCTATATATATACTGTTCTGTTCACGATCACCAGTATCCACCTTAAGAAGGGGCAAGAACTAGCCCAGAAACGTTGTGAAAAATATATCAAGAAGTTGTTATCCGTAAGATTTGTCTTGTTCGTTATATCCATGTATTGCTACACCAACTTCTAAATGCCTTTGAAGAATTTCATGTGACATATGTGTTTATACGTTACATTTATGGCGACTGTTTATGCAAAGCATACCGCCTGTGCATTCTGGAATGGTATTCAAATACTCAACATCTTTGTTGCTTGTTGCTATTATACGGAGAAAAAGACCACAATCCACAGTACAATATACCTGTCTGACAGTCGCCTCCCTTCCACCCCGCCGCACATCCGCCCTGACAGTAGCCTGTTGTCTTGTTACATATGGTGTTGTCCTTACAGTGACACTTCTCAGCACAGTTGATCCCAAACGTGTAGTCACCACACTCTGTGAATAGAAAATGGTGGCCACTATTATCTATTATTAAACCTAGTTTGTGTTGGCTGACTGACTGGCTGACTCAGTTTAGTTTTACGCCCGCTTTTAGCAATATTCCAGAAACATCACGGCGGGGGACACCTGAAATTGGCTTCACACATTGTACCCATGTGGGGATTCGAACCCGGTCTTCGGCGTGACGAGCCAACGCTTTTAACCACTAGGTTACCCCCACCGCCCCAGTTTGTGTTGGAATTCAGACACTGGTGAACATGTGAAGTGTGTGGACAAAGTTGATACCAAACGCCTAGCCTATATATTCTGGAATGGTATTCAAATGTGTGAGTAAATTTAATGTTCTTTGTTCTATGATTAGGGAATAGAAGTCACAAATCGCATCACAATATACCTGTCTGGCAGTCATCGCCCTTCCATCCTGCCTCACACCCACTCTGACAGTAGCCTGTTGTCTTGTTACATGTATCGTTGTCCTGGCAGTGACACTGTTCGGAACAGTTGACACCAAACGTGTAGTTGTTACACTCTGTGAATATGCATTTAGACATAAGTATATTCCGCTGTCAGCTTGTGTAGACATGTACATTGTATGTACTCATATATTCCTACGTCGTGTCTTCATGTATTACCTATTAAATCACTTTTTATTTTCCATAAACTAAAACTTGTTAAATCTTAAGATACAGTTTGTTTTCCGGCTGAATGAAACCAAGGCGCCTTGAAAACAGTAACTCACATTGTAGTATTATGATAAATCCATATGTCAGATTCATCTCTTTGTGTCTCTTTGAACATATTTTCTAAGCTCGTTCATTCACTATATCACAGAGCGTGTCAGTTTCAAACAAACAATTACGTGTGTTATAAATGCGTTCTCCTTTACATGAGCACAGATACAACTACATCTGAGTAGGGATGAATATGAAGCAATTACCTGTCTGACAGTTGTGCTCCATCCATCCAGGAGCACATCCACCCTGACAGATGCCAGATGTTTTGTCACACATGACGTTGTCCTTACAGTGACACCGTTGTGAACAATTGACACCAAAGGTGTTGTTGGTGCACTCTGTGAATAAAAAGGTAGCTATGAGTAACACATTTTATAAATATTTGAATTGAGATATTTGAACATAAATTACCATAGTGGGCATATTCATACAAACACGTGCTGTCATTTCATTCTGGTATGGTAATCTTGTCTATTGCTATTATACGATAAAAAAATGATATCACGAATTCACAGCACAATATACCTGTTTGGCAGGCATCGCCCTTCCATCCTGCCGCACATCCTCGCTGACAGTAGCCTGTTGTCTTGTTACATGTAGCGTTGTTCTGGCAGTGACACTGGTGGGAACACTTATAACCGAACGTGAAGTCAGGGCACTCTGCGAATAGCAAAGACAAATGAGCCATTTATAATATTTTCTGTATTGGAACTGAGATACTGTGACATATGTGTTTATAAGTTCCACTTAAGGCCACAGTTTATACAAAGCATACCGCGTATACATTCTGGAATGGTATTCAAATACTCAACATCTTTGCTGGTTGTTGCTATTATACAGAGAAGAAGACCACAATCCACAGCACAACATACCTGTCTGACAGTTGCCTCTCTTCCATCCTGCTGCACACCCACTCTGACAGTAGCCTGATGTCTTGTTACATGTCGTGTTGTTCAGACAGTGACACTTCTGTCTACAGTTGAGTCCAAACGTGTTGTTACTGCACTCTGAATATACATTTAGACATAAGTTTAATCCTCTGTCAGCACGTATGGACGTGTACAATGTGTGTGTTCATGAATTGAAAATATGTTGTGTCTTCACGCATTGTATTTATCCACTGAATCGGACTTAACTTCAATTTGACTAAAACCTGTTGAATGTTAAGATAGAACTTCACGCTGAACATCAAATCATTTATACATTAGCCGGTTGATCCTTCAGTTAAATGTATCAATTACACTGCAACGATAAATAAATGAATTAAGTAAAAACAATAAATTATTCTAAAATACGGTAATCAGTTGATTTCTCATTCCAAATGTGTCAATTACACTATACAAATGAATCAGTTAATTAAGATAAAATATAACAATTCATTCAAATATGTAGCAATTGGTCACTCATTCGAAATGTATCAATTATACTGCAGCAAAAGCACAAACCAAACAATAACCCCCAAAACAACAACAACTGTTACAACAAAAAGCAAAAAAAGCTTGTATGCAACCAAAGATATGAAAAATGGAGATTAGGCAAAAACCTGTCTGACAGTCGGCCTTCGTCCATCCTGGCGCACATCCGCCCTGACAGAAGCCTGTTGTCTTGTTACATGTAGTGTTGCCCTTACAGTGACACTTCTCAGCACAGTTGCTCCCAAACGTATAGTCATCACACTCTGAGAAAAATAGATAGTGACCGCTATGAAGCCTAAGTATAAATATTATTTTTGTTTGAACAGGGCTGAATCAGGACAAATTCCCCAGACAACACCACCCCCACCCACCCCCAAAAACAATAAAAATAAAAAATAGAATAAAAAATCACCCCGGACATAATCCCCATAATTATTTTGTTGATACCTTCTATTAATGAGTGGATACGTGGTGAGTACGTTTACGGCCTAATCCGTCGAATTTTGAACTGTCAGCAGTGCCGATTCGTCGAATCATGCTTGAGTGGTTCTGTGCTAATCGGTCGAATTTCAGACAGTGTTAAGTTCATTATTTAAGGGATCGGCTTGTATTGGATTTGACTACATGTTTTCTTAAATAGTTAAAGGGTTCACAGATGAGGAAGCCGATGTTTGCAATGAACTATCATCTTTTTTTCTCGGCTCCACATCTGGTTTAAACATATGGAACGAAATGAGCTGCCATAGAAAATCAAGTTAGAAAAAACTAGTCTAACATTGAATATACCTGTAGAGGTGATAATCATTGGAAGCGGTTACTTTTAGAAATGAACTGATTACAGTTTGCTTTGTTCAAATACTCTACCCGGTACAAGATCAATCAGGTAATCAGGAGTCAGATGATAATACATTTTATAGAAAGTTATGAGTTTAGAGAGATATCGTCTTTCTTTCAGTGTGCTATAATTGGTTTCCTTTGTGCCGCGAACCGCACCGCATATTGCGCCTAAATGTAAATGTTCCAGTAAAATCGCCTGTTCAATCGTACAATTATCCCATATATGACAGCAGTAATAAAAAAGAGGTAAGATAAAGGAGCTGTAAAAATTATTTAGCATTTAAAATATCCTTGTATATAGTTCTCCTAATGAATACATTTTATTTAATGCATCAATTTCAGTTTTGTACAAAAATAAAGATAGTCCAAACATATGTTTAATGCATCAATTTCTCATTGTATCATAGGGGTAGGTAAAGATAAGTACAAAAGTGAGTGAGTGAGTGAGTTATTATTTAACGTCACATCGGCAATATTTCAGCCATATCGTGACGAGAACACTTGACATTGAAATATAATATATATAGAGATTATAAAACCTACCGACAAAGGACAGTAAAGCAACTAGAGTATCACAGATATATATGTAAAACTAGTAATTGAATCTAAAACATTTTAACTATAGGGGACAACACAATATAGAAATGGGCTATAGATCGCCAACAACTGAAGGTAGAGCACCATACTAGGAGCCATGGGGACTTACATTACTTTTGCTACCTGCATGGACCCTAGCTGGATTTACACCATCCCTTCAGCTGTTGGTGCTTATACCGAGAATTAGCCATACATTAAAATGACAAAAATACTACGATTAAAACACCTGGTATACTCAAATTTACTTGAAATGTTTTGGGACTTACGTACCCTCTCAGGAGGACAATAATTTTACAATACTTCAACCCCCTTTGAGGGAAGTACAAAAGTACGAAAATAGAGAGAGTTAAACCATCCAACACCCCTTGCGTCTGTTTTGGGTTATGATCCAATGTTTTGATAACAGTGCTCATCCATCGAATGCATTTTACTACTCTGAAATCAGAAATTCGACGGATCGGTACGCGACTGTGATGACTACCTGTCAGACAGTCATTTCCTGTAAATCCAGCCACACATCCGCTGTTGCAGTATCCGGTGGTCTTGTCACAGGTGGCGTTGTTCACACAATGGCACTGGTTGGTGCAGTTGACGCCGAACCAATGGTCCTCACACACTGCAGGAATAGACACCGTGTCAAATATAAGTTTCTAAAAAAGTCTGTTACTTCTGAGGCGTGTTACACAACTGGAAAAAAGCTTTCTTTCTGAAATGTCACAAACCTTGGGACGCTCCAGTTAACAGGTCCATCTGACTGAAGCACACACACACGCACGCACATATACATATTTACATAAATGGAAAACAGTACTTTTATTTCTTTTCGCCCGAACAAAGAGCAAGACGTATATATAAAGTCATGAGTATTGTTTTTGACGCCACAGTCATGAGATGTCCTACGTATCATGAAATATTCCAACTCAACAACAGCCTCGCCCATCCAGGGGCTCTCTGTGACGGAAGATGTGTAACAAAACCTGACTGTTCCTTCTCAGGGCCACCTGCAACCACCTGTTAATAGATGTCAGAAACATCGGTCGAAATACATTTAACTAATTTGAGCGTTAATATTCACAGCATTCCAATCATTGCATTAATCATAATGTGCTGTTGAATCACTATCTTTCAAGCTGAAATCTTTGCAATCTCTTACAGAGCAAAGAACATCAATGCATTATTTCTATTCAGAGGTTACAGGTCACAGATGATAAAATGAATGTTACACTCACTCAGTACTTGCACTTCACACAGACTCATCTTTTCACCAGATGCAAGACTGATGTTAACTGTTTGGCCTTTCGTCACATTGTCACATCTGATGTTCATCACCGGTGCCACATCTGTCCCTGGAATATGTTTATAACAGTTCGTGTTCCCCACTGTTACTATCGTTGAGTCCATATAGACTTCACCTGGATGATGAATAACATGATAACAACAGTTCTGAACAACATATCCATTCCTTAAAAACCTTATTATACATTGGTTATGGTGTTGTAAATATACATTTGCTTACAAAGACCAACTTACTATCCTACTTTGGTCAACAGGCAAGCGCTCCGCTTAACTTGTAACTGTTTTATTCAACATGTGTACGGATTTCTAAATATATTCATCGAGTTACATAGTGAGTGAGTGAGTGAGTGAGTTTAGTTTTACGCCGCACTCAGCAATATTCCAGCTATATGGCGGCGGTCTGTAAATAATCGAGTGTGGACCAGACAATTCAGTGATCAACAGCCTGAGCATCGATCTTCGCAATTGGGAACCGATGACATGTGTCAACCAAGCCAGCGAGCCTGACCACCCGATCCCGTTAGTCGCCTCTTACGACAAGCATGGGTTACTGAAGGTTCATTCTAACCCGGACCTTCACGGGTCGAGTTACATAGCATACATGTAGTTACATCATCTATATAATCTCACTCTGTGCCCTGGTGTAGATCCTGATCCAGGAGATGTTGTACATCTGACCCAGGTCCACCTGCCACCAGGGTGTGGATACTTCATCGGGGTGAGCACAGGAACCGCTCCAGAAATTTCTTTCTGTGTTCCCGTCTACAGCCAGGTTTGCGGGTTTGTTACCACATACCTGACCTAGGTCCTTGTTGCACCAGTGAGTATCATTGAATTCCCCATGTTGTGTTGCAGTCATGTTAAGTGCCACATTTACTGAAACAGTGTACGTGACTGTAATTTCAAAATTATGTTCCACACCAGTAGATACATATATAAAGCTTGTCATACACAACGTTCGTGGTAACAAAAACCTCTTCAGTGAACCCCAAAATAGGCTTTATCTTGAATACAAACCCAACCTTGATATAGCCTGATAAGGGTTTGAAATATCTTTGCGTTTATATCATAACAACTATATATAGATTTGATTAGATGCATGTTAACTAATGGTCTCGGAACATCAGCCGTTACGGACATCTGATGTCACTATACAGGCACTGTGACACATGTGTGATAATGACATACTCTGGAATTCTGGGTTTTCGTTTCGTCCTGTAATCAAGTTCTGAAATTTCCATGTAGCGGATGTTTGGTAATATTTATTATGTTAGAACTCACAATAACGCTTTTCCTTACGGTACATGCAAATACATACATTAGCTGTACAAGAAAACCTCTCTTATACCATTTTAAGACGTCACCATGCAGTGCAATGATATACTCAATACAGGCACAATATCGACTCAGTGAAGTCTGTTAGAAAATAAGCCCCACGAACATGTAGTAAGATTTTAATGAAACGTCACCTGTTTTCATTTTGTAAGTGAAAACATTTATTAACAAACTGTTCATACATCAAAAATGGCCGAAATGTTTCGTTTTACGTACAGTCCTATCTCAAACAACATTGTATCGCATTTCTTTCAAATCGGACATGAAGGTAGATAAATAATATACACACCTGTATGCGGAGGTAATTGATCAAGGCACACGATGACTACAATGGGGAAAATCAACAGAGAGTACCATACAGTCATAGGTCCCATCATTTAGAAACCTACATACTAGCGTGGCGTTTGTCCAGCACATAACCGAAGGTGAAATGTTATCTTTACAAAAGCTACATCGATCTGAATTAGTGTTATGACAATACGTATCTTATCTGTCAGTGTGATATCGCGTGAAACTGTCACGTTACACAGTTGTCGAACCTTCATCGGGTTATCAGCGTCGGGTCAAGCTGACGCGTGTCACCCTGGCGACAAACTATTATATATAGAGACAGATTGTTAGAATGAGTGAGTGAGTATGGATTTACGCCGCTTTAGCAATCTTCCAGCAATGTCGTGGTGGGCTTCACACATTGTACCCGGGTCTTCGGCGTGACGAGAGAATGCCTTAAACGCTGGGCTATTACACCGATCCTCAGTATGTTAGACACAATGTTGATGAAATGCTAATGATCGGCCCAGTGGCCATCACCGCGTCGTTACATCCAAAGAATCTACTCTACAGGTGTTATTGAGTTCAAGTCTGGTTTGATCTAGTAGGGGGCATGTTGAAAATACTTCAAAGACGTTTTCTGCAGCTGCAGCGACTACCATGCGTGACGTTTAAACATACGCCTATGCGTGAAGTACTGTAATGTACAGTGGAACTAGCCAAATCGAAGTGATAAGGTACGTTTTGATTAGAGGTGAGGTGAAATGGAGTTTAACGTCGTGCTTAAGAATATTTCGCTCATTTGGCAATGTGCATGCGTGTGTATGTGTGGCTGCTTCTACTAGCCCAGTCATATGCTGGCTTTATAGTGCCGCAGTTAAGCATGAATACTCCACTCACACACCTTATATTGACTCCGAGCCAACCAGTGCTTGTTTTACCATTAATGCCGAGCGTTTAATAATTGGATAAAATTAAAAATCTCGAAATCTATGGAATAACAGACCTAGTAAGCAAGAACTGAAATAAGTAGGGCGATCCAGAGATTCTAGGTTGCAGTCTGGAAAGAGAATTGTTAAGCTGGTCTTTCTGTGGTGGGAGAGGCAAGCAGAATGTTTAGCTAGCGAATAATGACTGATTTGATATAGTACTTTGTGAGTGTTATAAATAAGGCGATTTGTTCAAATGCTACGTGCAATGTACCACGTTCAAGGATAAAGTTCTGATACAATAACATGAGTTGCGTCTTGTATATATTTAAGCCTTTCAGACAAATTCCTTCCTTCAGTGTCTTGTTTCTAATGAGGCGGTGGGGCAGACCAATAATGGTTAAAGGGTCGCTCTTCACGTCGAAGACCCGGATTCGATTCTCAACATGGGTACGATGTGTGAGGCCCGTTTCTGGTGTTCTCCGCAGTGCCATTGCTTGAATATTGCTAAAAGCGGCATAAAACCCAACTCACTCACTTGTTTCTAACCGATTTATTAAACACATTAGTTCCTGTCTTGGCATCTGATGCTGCTGAGAGGTGTGTCCTTTAGACGTACCCGAACAGTACGTGACTTCGACCTGATAATGATCATGGTTTTGCACCATACTCATGCTCGTGTGGTTTCATCTGCATCGTCTTAGGCTTTCTTGTACTTGGCATGACATAACATGGCATGACTGAAACACGACATGACTGAAACATGCGTAAACTGATCTTTAACCTATCTCACTCTGTAAACACAGAAACGTTAGCACACAATATATTTTATCATACCGAATAACCTACATTCTGAATAAATGTTTGAAAGCAACTGCTTATCAAAATGTTCTGAACACAGAGAAGCATTAGTTTTCCTGATGCAGGACTGTGCATGAATTGTGCCTTTCCTACTTTGTTGAGTGACGTATAGTTCTTTATACGCCCTACTACCTCGTAAACTTCATTATATAAAGACTGGCTTGGAATGGACATCGCTTTGGATGTCATATTCGTTCGAATGAATACAATGTACAGCCACATCAGTGTTGTAGTAACTCAGTGCTGACTGTAATAACTGTCACTGATGTGGTTGTATGTAATCATTTGTGATCCAGTCCGCTGTTGACGGATGCCATGTTATAGTCATCGTCACACATTATTTTCATTTAAGAAACAGCACGTATGGAACCATGGTTACCCTCAACGCCATTGTTTACCTGATTCTGATGCAGGCATGGAGTCAAGGTGAGACACACACATAGATCAGATGCCAATGAGGAATCATCTACAATCCAAGTAATTGGAGACATAAATGTACATAGATCATACAAAATGTTTTAATTATGAATACATATACATTGCACATTGACAAATGTTTCTTAGTTTTACCTTTGTTATTTGCTGATGTATCAGCTGATGTTCATATCAACGCCAAGCCTATGTGTGTTACAGTGTCCGGTCAAGACTCCAACTGCCCCCAGAACTGTACCGCAGGTAACGTTGTTGCTTATTTTATATTACGGCTGCTACAGGTTGGGCAGGTCAGGAGTTCTGCCGCATCCTGACAAGGACTTCTGCATACATGGTCTGTGGTATTTAGTCTCAACAGCGCGAATGTCACCCGCTGTTGCAATCCTAGCCTTGATTTCTGTGGCTTTCTTATCAGATCTCTGATTACAAACTTGTAACAGTGTACCTTGTAAGATGTTTGTTTTTCTAATATTACGAACACATTCAATACTGGTTACTGCAGAGGCCTGGCTAGGATAACGACGACCTTTAACAAAATCAATTTCGTCAGCACAGATTAAACAGTGAGTATCAAAGTTAAAATTTGTGTCCAGTGTTCGCAAAACCCTTGTGGTTGCTAGACATGTGGAAGCTGACTGAGTGTTGACAACCAATCTCCTACCCAGAGTTCCATTCGGCAAGCCAGCATAATACCTCTGCCACAGGCCAGAAAGATGTGACGATTCGTCACATCTTGCACCGTCCATTCAATATAATTTACATATGACTTAACTCTTTTATTTTTGACGAGCCTAAACATCTAATTAAACATCTTTGATAAAATAGTTTAGTTTCACTGAGAAAATATCCTAAAACATGTAACACTATTTCGATTTGCGTAGCGATCCTTTGTTTACATAGGTTGTACGGCTCCACGTGCTGTCATCGAAGTCGACAGAGAGCAAACGATGCAACCAGTTTGATATCTAAATTGTACTGTCATGAATGTTACTGTCGCAGTTGTGGAAGAATATATATGTAACAATGTAGAACATTGTGAAGAGCGCGCCGAAAAGCTTGCGTAAGACCAGTCTCTTCTTATTATGAATATGCGCGTTTGTTTACAATGTAACAAGAGAAAAGTCTACTAAAGATGCAAAAAATGGCATTAAGCAAATTTGACAGGAAATCAAAATCAAATTTCACAACTTTGCCAGAGGTTGATTTTGGTTGATTTTTTGGGGGAAAGACATATGAACAAGAGAATACAGTTGGCACAAATATTTGTCTGTTATGGAAAATGTCTAGGTCTAATTAAATTATGGGATTTTTCTACTGGCCTATTTACAAATACATTGCAGACCGCCTCCGTGGTGTACTGGTTAGAGCGTCCGCCCGGAGAGTGGAAGGTCGCGGTTTCGATCCCCGACCGCGTCATACCAAAAGACGTTACTTGTTGGTCCCTGCCTGGCGCTCGGCATTAATGGGTACAACAAGGACTGGTCGGCTCGGAGTCAGTATAATGTGTCTGAGTGGGGTATTCATGCTTCACTGCGGCATGGTGTCTCAGTGGGCTAGCACTATAAAACCAGTTTCAGTCTGGGCTAGTACAAGCATCCGCACATACACATACATACGCATGCACACGCCATATGAGAGAAATATTCTCAAGTACGACGTTAAACCCAATTTAATTTTACCCACCTAACCTCACCTCACAAATACATTGCACATTGAAACGATGTTTCTGAGTTTTACCTTTGTTAATGACTGATGTATAAGCCGATATTGATATTAAATCAAAGTCTGTGTGTGTTAAAGTGTCCGGTCAAGACTCCAACTGCCACCAGGACTGTACCTTAGGTAACGTTGATATCACTGTTTTGATTACAGGTGGTACAGGTAGTGCAGGTCGTGATTACAGTTTACATCTGAATTTCAGTTACCTGTTCATAAAATATTTTGCCTATAACAGCCAACAGAATATGTTTTGTCAATGATTCACTACTATACTGAATGTGCTCTCAAATGGCGTTGCTGTGTATTTTACTATTTGTATCAGCTCATTAA